CTCTTTTCTATTCTGTGGAAGTTAAGCGGATAAATGGATACCCACCTTAAAGGCATGCAGAGAAAAAATGAGCTGAGTAGTAGTTTGAGAATAGAATCCTTGAGAATCTTTCAATGTTATGGATAACTTGGTCCACCACCAGTGGAAGAAAGATTTAATCCATCTATTAAACCTTTTAAATAAGACATTGAAACCAAGTTTTGATCATGTGATTGTGGGCATGATGTGATGGTGCAAGTGCGAGGACTGGTTGTAAGTGACTTATTTTTCAGTTTCATACTTTTGAAAGCTTGCTAAAAGAATGGCTGTCAGTTAAGGACTATTTGTAGTAAAAAAAAAACTACCTGCTTGTTGTGCTCAGATCTGGAAAGAGATTTTATTGTGTTATACAAGAAAAGTTCTACAATTAGTAGACGATGTTTAGATTAGTATTATGTACTGTATAATTAGAAGTAATGTAAGATTTTAAAACTGATGAAATCATAATGCATGAACACTTTTAATGTTAGAAAACTATTGGATGTTATCTTGTCACTTGGTTAGTATATTTAAAAGTATAAAAATATAAACATACACCTGCCCTCACACCTCACCTGGTACTTCACTCAAAGCAACTGAATGTATGTGCTTCTGTTATGATACAATGGCCAGTACCTTGTGAGTTTTTGTTACTCTCCTATGAGATTTCTCAAAGTCTCAGCCATCACCCGGAGAACGTACAAAGAGAATGCAGCAATTCTTTGAAGTAGCATCCACATCTCATGTCAACGAAATACTACCATTCTTGCAATATATTCTAGTAATTTTCTTCAAGATCATCATATTTCAATTTGAAAAAGTTTGACAAAACAAAACAGGACAGAACCCTCCCTCCAAAAACAACATCCATGGGATTGGACGGCCGCTTAAGTTAGAAAAGGATGGCAATCAGGGATGAAATGCTTCCGGTACGGACCAGATCAGCCAATCTGGTAGTGATGGCGACGGGTGGTTCGGAGAACCGGTAGCAAAAATCCCTGCTCCCCCTCTCCCCACCAATGCCCAACCAATCGCTCGGCCGCCTGCTTGCTGCTTCTTTCTGGTTCGCTCACTTTTCCCACCCGAATGGTAGGAATAGGTTGTAAAAAAAAAAAAGCTTTTAAAAGTAAAAAAAGAGGCTCCGAAAATCACAGCTGTGGCGTGCAACCGTCGGAACCTTTTTTTTTTTACTTTTTTAAAGCATTTTTTTACTACCTATTTGCCCAAATAGGTAGTAAAAAATGCTTTAAAAAAAAGTAAAAAAAAAAAAAGGCTCGACGATCATGCGCCACAGCTGATCACACTCTCTCAAGCTGTTCTACTTATCTTCCTTCCCATGCCTCCTTTTGGCCTCTCATTTGGTGCGTGGTGCGCACTGCAGCAGGGGTGAAATGCTCCCGGTTCGGACTGGATCACCTGATCCGGTAGTGATGGAGGTGGGTGGTTCGGAGAACCGGTAGCAAAAATCCCTGCCCCCCCCCACCATTGCCCCGCTGAGCCATGCAATCATCAGAGGCTTTTTTTTTTACTTTTAAAAGCATTTTTTCTACAATCTCTTTGGCCGAAAAAATGCTTTTAAAAAAAAAGCCTCTGATGATCGCGCGGCTCAGCTGGGATCATCAAAGATCCCAGCTGAGTTGCCTGATCGGCAGAGGCTTTTTTTCTTTTAAATGCTTCTGACGATCCAAGCTGAGTTGCCTGATTGTCAGAGGCATTTAAAAGAAAAAAAATCCTCTGTCGATCAAGCAACTCAGCTGGGATCGTCAGAGCCTTTGAAAGCATTTTTTTACAAGGTTGTAGAAAAAATGGTTTTAAAAGTAAAAAAAAAAAAATTGGCCATACCCACTCAGTCACATTACTCTCCCCACCAAGCCATGCCCACAGAACCGGTAGTAACAAATTTTAGATTTCACCACTGGTGTACAGCCACCGAACCGGTAGTAAACCGGTTCAGATTTCACCACTGATGCCAATCCTTAAACAAGTCTTATCATTCCAGTTGCTGCATTTTTTAAAGGAAGCTGATTCTTTCAAGACTGAGATTCCTACTGTTTTGTCTTCATCTCCAGGACTTAAAGCATGATGACTTGTGTATAGTCAGTGTACACAACGGTTAAAAGAGGAAATGGGAAATTAATAGCCGATAACCTCTTTGCTGTTTCTCTAACGTATTGGGGGCTGCATCTAATTTACTGGGATAAATGTTTTGCATAGATTGTCTGATTGCTATATTACAATATAACTGATTGAAAGAAATGAATTCTTCTGTACACCACATGCTTCCTGGGCTCCTTTATTAAGACCAAGTCTGCACTGCGTCAGTAACTATTAGCTTGGGAAAATCTTTAAGATACTGATTCCCTGGGCTTATTAAGTCTAATATAGAGCTTTCAAGATATTTTCATTAAGAAAGTTTGGTTAATAAAGGTCCTTATTAATAAGATCTATTATGAAAACCATTACTGGAAAAGAGCAAAGCGTTACTATGCAGGGGGAAGAAACAGAGAGGCTAGAAGTAAAAGCAAAATAACATTTCTTCTTGGAAAGGAAGGATTTTGCTTTGCCAGGATTGGTCTGAATTGAGAAAAAAGGAAGAATGTGTATTACAAAATACGGAACGTAATATCAGGTTACACATCACTAACCCTTTTGGGAATATTGTGAGTATTGTGGTGTTTTCATAAAATGGAGGGCCTGGGATTTCTCAGTTCACAAAATGATTGCTATTATTGCTGGGTGGATTCCTTTTATCCGAAGACACTGTGGTAGGAGTCCTCCCAGTCACATTGGCTAATCCTTCACACATGTTTTCTATGACCTTCAGGGCTGTTAATGTTGAGGTTTTGGTTTAGCTAGTGATCCTAGCCATCAAGGTCCACAATATATAACCTAATACATGCATGAAGTAGGTCAGTGCTGATTTATTGAATAACCTATATTTATATTTATATTTATTTATTTGTCAAGAACGTGTTAGGTAATTTATATAATTATAAGCATGCATTGAATACATAAAATAGATGCAAGTAGAGGAAACATTAGGACAGGGACGGTAGACACACTGGTGCTCTTATGCACGCCCCTTACAGACCTCTTAGGAATGGGGTGAGGTCAACAGTAGACAGTCAAAGGTTAAAATTTTGAGGGTTTTGGGATGAAACCACAAAGTCAGGTAGTGCATTCCAGGCATTGACCACTCTGTTGCTGAAGTCCTATTTTCTGCAATCGAGTTTGGAGCGGTTCACTTTAAGTTTGTATCTATTGTGTGCTCATGCATTGTTTGTGATTGAAGCTGAAGTAGTCATTGACAGGTAGGACATTGTAGCAGATGATTTTATGAGCTACGCTTAGATCATACCGAAGGAGGTGTAGTTCTAAGTTTTCTAAGCCCAAAATTTCAAGTCTGGTAGCATAAGGTATTTTGTTGTGAGCAGAGGAGTGGAGGACTCTTCTTGTGAAATATTTCTGGATACGTTCGATTGTACTAATGTCTGATATGCAGTGCAGGTTCCAGACAGATGAACTGTATTCGAGAATTGGTCTAGCAAATGTTTTGTATGCTCTGGTTAGTAGTTAGTAGTTAAAACAACCTGCCATTACAAAAAAAAAATGTTGAATGGTTCCAGTTTTGGGCTTCTTTAGCTACCTTTGAAATACCAATTCATCCTCATCAAGGTACAGCAATGGAAAAAGAATCTAGAAGTGAAGGAGAAGTGTTATACTTCCTAGGGATATCAAAGTTGAAGATGCAAAGCAATTTAGGTAAAGCTATGAAGATGAAATTATGCTCTCATGGAATAATACTTTATTATTGGAGAAACATTCCCAGCTCTAGGTGACTGATGTCACAAAACTAGGACTGCAAAGAGACAATGACTCTGCTGGCTTGTAAAAGAATTGGTTTTTGAAGGAATGTTTGCCCATATAAGCCATTGCTCAAAATTATTGCATGAGGTCCTGAGCTGCTACCATCCAACTGATCGTTTATCTCCATGAATGCCGACTCCATCTTTTTGGAAGTGCTCTGCAGCTTAAAAGAATAGTTGTTAAGGAAACTAATTCAAACTAACTTTGACATAAAATCTGGGTGATGCTGACTCTGGCCACTTACTCAGGCAGAAAAGGGGATCATAGCAAATGCTGACTCAGAACCAAAATGGAGATAGTGGTCCTAACAGAGTCAGGAGAATTTTTTTAGTGCTGAACCTGTTCGGAATCTTCTAGTTCCAATATGCTCTTTCTGTGGCCCACCAATCAAAGTTTTCAATTCTCTCTGCAGGTCCTTAGCTATTTCTTTCTTATCAAGTTAGCTAGCCATACTCAGTGGCCTTAAGCAAAGAAATACACATGCTTTTTAATTATTATTTTTTTAGAATAGAATAGAATAGAATTCTTTATTGGCCAAGTGTGATTAGACACACAAGGAATTTGTCTTTGGTGCATATGCTCTCAGTGTACATAAGGAGGATAAAATATATTCATCAAGAATAAAAAGATACAACACTTAGTGATAGTCAAGGTTACTAATAAGCTATCAAATCATACTAGGAAACAAATAAAAACAATATAATTGAAAGATACAGACAACATGGTTATAGTAATAAGTGGGAAGAGATAGATACTAGTAAGGAAGAGAAGAATAATAGTAATACAGTCTTAGTAAATTATTTGATAGTGTTGTGGGAATTAGTTGTTCAGCAGAGTGATGGCATTCAGGAAAAAACTGTCTGTCAGCGTTCCAAATTAGGCTTTCTTCCAGCGCTGACATAACAAGTTGAAGCAGAAAGAGCGGAAGCTTGATTTATTGCTGAGATGAACTTTTACCTAGTTTTGTATGTACAGATAGTGTTTCCTGGGAGACGAGGATGGGGGCTGCATTCCTGTGAAAAGAACGTGCCGGGATGTAGAGATGGATCTGTATGACGGCCAATGGGACATTGGGGTTGGAGAGAGGAAGAGGAGGGGGTTGGAAGAAGGGGCCAGTTTGGCTGCAATTTGAATCAGAAATGTCGGATTCTGCTATTCTTAAAAATAAAATGATTCATTAGACAGCTTGCGCTTGAGAATGAAGTTTATTCAAGATAGCACCGAAACCTGACAGACAGCCAAACTCTCCTCCAAATCCAGGCTGGCTGAGTTTAAATCATCCCGTTCCCTCCCAGACATCTGGTCGGACGGACTATGGCTGAAGCCAAGCTATCGGAGGAAAGCCTGCTTCAAGAAACGGGAGGAGCAGAAGCGGTCGTGATTCCAGCCAACTTGGAAAATACAAAGGTTCAACTTTCTTCACCTCCCCTCCCCGCAGAACTTCAAGCAAAGAAACGTGAAGCAGATAAGTACCCGGGGACTGTGCCTAAAGCCTTAGAGGCGGAATCCCCTTTTGCAAAGGTAAAAGATAAAGAAAAACCCCTAAGTGAATTGGGAAGGGCGAGCTGGGGATGGGAATGGCAGCGAAGCCCAGACAAGGCAGCACCTCCCCACCCCAGGATGAGAGACGAGGCAGAAAGACTGAACGCTATGATAGAACAGTATTTAAGATGCTACGTCGACTACCAGCAGTCCAATTGGGCAGACCTCCTATCTTTTGCGGAGGTTGCATATAATAATGCTGTCCACAGCAGCACGGGGCTAACCCCGTTCAAAATAGTGAGTGGCATGGATTTTGTTCCCATGCCAGAATACCCGAGGGAGCCCCCTTCCTCAGTCAGTTTGACCGACTGGATGGCAATGTTGAGACAAACTTGGGAAAATGTTAAGAGGGCGCTGGCAAAGGCGGCTCAATCTTATAAGGACCAAGCAGACAAACACCGAACTCCCCAAAGACCATTTCAGCTGGGAGAGAAAGTTTACCTCTCCACCAAGTACTTGAGACTTAGACTCCCGAGCAGGAAATTGGGCCCAAAATTTATAGGACCATTTCCTATAATAAAAATAATCAACCCCGTTACAGTGCAATTGCAGTTGCCATGGCTTTTGGGGAAAATTCACCCCGTTTTTCACAGTAGCCTTCTAAAACCTGTAGTGGGGTCTACTTTAAGGCCAATGCCACGTGAACCCCCTGGGCCCCTGGTTGTTGGGGGCCAAACGCACTACGAAGTGCAGCGGATTCTTGATTCAAGATGGCACAGGGGGCGCCTTCAGTGCTTAATTAAATGGAAGGGTTACCCATTGTCAGAGGCTTCCTGGGTGAAGAGCGCAAACATCCAAGCTGATCGCCTTATAGCAAAATTCCATGCAGACCACCCGGGAAAGCCGGGAGGGGGGGGTGCACAGCCAGGGAGGGGCTGATGAGACTAATCTTGTTGTGTTTTCCCTATGGGATAGGTGATGTCGCAGAGGGAAGGGAGAGGGGCCGGATGTCAGCGTTCCAAATTAGGCTTTCTTCCAGCGCTGACATAACAAGTTGAAGCAGAAAGAGCGGAAGCTTGATTGATTGCTGAGATGAACTTTTACCTAGTTTTGTATGTACAGATAGTGTTTCCTGGGAGACGAGGATGGGGGCTGCATTCCTGTGAAAAGAACGTGCCGGGATGTAGAGATGGATCTGTATGACGGCCAATGGGACATTGGGGTTGGAGAGCGGAAGAGGAGGGGGTTGGAAGGAGGGGCCAGTTTGGCTGCAATTTGAATCAGAAATGTCGGATTCTGCTATTCTTAAAAATAAAATGATTCATTAGACAGCTTGCGCTTGAGAATGAAGTTTATTCAAGATAGCACCAAAACCTGACACTGTCCTTGTGTCTAGTTGTTCTGGTGTGCAATGCCCTTCCTACAGGGTAGGAGGGTAGAAGTTGAAACAATTTATGTCCATGATGTGAGGGGTCTGAGGATATTTTCACAGACCTCTTTTTGACTCGTGCAGTATACAGGTCCTCAATGGAAGGCAAGTGGGTAGCCATTGTTTTTTCTGCAGTTCTAATGATCCTCTGAAGTCTGTGTCTGTCTTGTTGGGTTGCAGAACCAAACCAGACAGTTATAGAGGTGCAGATGACAGACTCAATAGTTCCTCTGTAGAACTGAATCAGCAGCTCCTTGGGCAGTTTGAGCTTTCTGAGTTATTACTATTACTATTAATATGTATGATTAGTTGTTACTAGACAAGCCATGCCCCATTTGATCTTCAGTTCAGAAACATTTTCTCATCTCAACTGAGAACCAAAAGTAGGCAAAAAAAAAACAAAAAAAAAACCCTCTGTGCCTGAGGTTCCTCAAAGCTCAAATTTATTAGAGATGTCATGTTGGCACATCTGGGAAAACCCGAATCTGAAAGCTTCCAGGTTTTCCACACGCAGCTAACAGTTCACAGCCCTGCCCCACATCCACAAGTTCATCACATCGTCCAATCAACTCTTCACATTCAACTGGATACAATCTTCAGGCAGTCTCCAGCAGATGCAAACAAAAGTGTCCTTGAATACGGAATGTTGTTATGACTAACTTTCTACCGCTCCAACAAATTTCCCCCCTCCCAATTTCCCAGGCTAAAATATGTGGCAGTTAGGAAGCAAAAAGGAAAACTGTCTTCCAAAACTGACAACCCCATTCATGCAACTGTTCTTCAGCCTCCAGTCCCCCAATCATCCCCGCTGCTCTTCTCTTCACTCTTTCTAGAATCTCAACATCTTTTTTATATCGTGGGGACCACAACTAGTAGTAGATGCAGTATTCCAAGTGTAGTCCTTCCTTCCTTCCTTCCTTCCTTCCTTCCTTCCTTCCTTCCTTCCTTCCTTCCTTCCTTCCTTCCTCCCTCCCTTCCTCTCTCTCTCTCTCTGTCATTCTGTTATTTCCTTCCTTCTTTCCTCTCTCCCTTCCTCAAACTCTTGTCAGTTTTCTCATTTATTTTGCTTATGGGAAGCTTCCGGTGAGAAAACCAGTGGAGAAGCCAACTGAAAGTTGCACAATTTAATAATATTTTTCTTCAAAACTGGCATTTCTTTTTGTCATGTTGCTTCACTTTGCACTGCTCCCACAACACAAACCTTTAGTGCTAGGTCATTCTGAGGCAATTACCAGCTCAAAATCACCCATGAGCTTCTCTGACTGAAGGCAAGGTGGCTCTTAGTATTTTTAACACCAAACGTCAAGCATTACACCACACTGTGATAGATGAGAAGCAAATATATCTGGAGACCACTTCTATGTGTAGCCGCATCAGTCACTATAAAAGCAAGCAGCACAAATTTCTTGGAGTCTACAATATTGCTTCACCCTAGCCAGCTGCAATATCCAGAAGCCATTCAGATAGCTCCACACCAACAAATAAAGTGCTGGTCCATCTCCTCTATCCTTTATATTCAATAACTACCGTAGTAACCATCAGGCTTAAGAATGTTGCTGAAACTTGGAGTTGCTAAAGTGCCTGCTCTTCTGCCTTGCCCAACTACAGGGAGAATTCAAGAAGCAGAATGACCCCAAGCCCCAAGTGGAGAGAATGCTGGGTCCCCAGTGGCACTAAGTGCCACATTGAAGAAAATTGCAGCCATGTTCCCAATGCCAAAGCAAGCTGTTAAAGTAAAGAATCTTAGCAATTCTGTCCAAGAAGGACTTCTAGTTAATTAGTACAAAGACTTCCTTTTTGCTCATCAGTGTATTTTTCAGAAGGATCTACAAGTGAAATTGTAGTAAGTACTGCATGTGCTTTTACAGAGAAGAATATCTTTTACAGTATTGCTCATGGAGTGCAAACTCAGTTCTTATTATCATTATAACTGTCTTAATTTGCAAATGTTATCTACTATTTGTCCAAAAATTTCCTCGTACAGTTTCATTGCTGAAAATATTTGCACCAACTCCCTCAGTTTCCTTTTTCTCGTCTTTGTCAGTTTCTGCTGGTGCTTAATGGACTTCAGGCTAAAGTGCTGACTAAATTGAAAGATATTGATAATTAAATACCATCCATTTTAAATATATCTGTCATACTGTATTTTCCTACTTTATAGGCTTTTTAACAAACGGCCCACTGGAGCAACATATGGTTATATTTTCCTTGGGGGGGGGGAAGGTAAAAGAATATTTTTCATTCAAGCCATTAAGAAGCACTATCTTAAAAAGAAAACACCAGCATCCTTCTCTGTGTATTCAGATCAGGTCTACCTAGGCTAGTAATGACTTTCTGTTCAGTTATCCATTTCATTTTGCTAAAATTACAGGGAAGTGCAGTGAAATTTTGTGTTAATGGCACATTCTTCTTCTCATTTAGGCCTTTCCTTTTATGTTCCCATAACCTTTAATTCTCAAGCGCAAATACTGTAAGACATAAAGAGCCTCTTCTGAATTACCATATTTTTCGGAGTATAAAATGCACCTTTCCCCCCCTCTAAAAGGGGGTGAAAATTTAGGTGCGTCTTATACACTGAATGTAACCCCGCTCACCCACTGGCCCCCACCCTTTGGTCTCTGCTTCCCAGCAGTTACCTCCTTGCAGCAAACAGCAAGAAAAAACAGCTCCTTTCAGCTTCAGCACAGCCTAATTAGCACAAGTTGATTGGATTGGCCTCCTGATTCTCAGCTGATTTGCTCTCAGCTGTTTTGAGCAGGGTTCTGCTGCTTGCTCCAAGGAGGTAAATTGCTTTTTCCCTTGTGCTAATCAAGCTATGCTGAAAACGAAAATGAAAGTAAAGCAGGCTCTTTGCTGTTTGCTGCAACGAGGCAAAATTGCTCAGAGGCAGAGGCAGATTTCTTTTTCTTCTTTTCCTCACCAAAAAAGGTAGGTGCGTCTTATAGTCCGGTGCATTTTACACTCTAAAAAATACGATATACTTGTAACAGCTTGATTGATAGTTTATCTTAAATATGAGGTGTATACGTTACTGCATCTGAGACCATGTGCTACAATGCTTACACTTCTACTGGCATACTAACTCCAATGATGTTTTTCTCAATTCCATATTATTGAAAGTATTTTTATGACATACTTAGTTTGATGTTCAAAGATAGATCAAAGGCATCTCAATATACTAGACTTGGTTAGCCTTTCATCCTATCTACAAGGGAGACAAGGGAGGGCAAATGTGATGTTACACACATTTATATAAGAGGTGGAATTTAAGTTGTGAATCTTATTTTGTAGAGTCCCTACCAAATAAGTGTTCTGTCCCCATCACACGCACACACACAAACAGACAGCCAGGAGTTAATGAATCAAACAGTCAGGAATTCCTTTAAGATAACAGTCTTGGCAGCGAACCATGAACTGCCTGCCAGAGATTTTACTCACTAAGGGAGGTTTTTTCCCCTCAGTCCGATATACCAAATTAATTCCTCAAAGCAAAGAATTGTCAAAGTCCAGTCCGAAGAAATCCAAAAAGAGATTCTAACAGAGTTCTAGAAACACAATATGACTTCCAAGCTTTTCAATTTGTCCATCACAAGGCCTGAATAGCCGACACACACCCTTTTATCCCTTGTGGGGTGTGGTCCAGTGACTCAGCTCAATCTCTGGCCCACCCACACCTCTTTCTCTGCTGCACGCGTGTTTATCCTTCCGACGCTGTCTGGGATCCAGCCAAAACTCATCCCCCTCGCTCTCTATCTGCGGCTACTCTGAAGTGCCTTGCTCCTGGCATATCTTTCTTGGCCTTCGGAGGAAACCTGAGGCATTGCCAGAGAGGAGGGTCCTGGAGAGGGAGGCCTTGCCAAATGCTCTCCTTCACCTTCTGAGTCCTCTCCCTCTGTTAGGACAGGCTCGGGGGTAGGAGTCACAACAATAAGATTCACAACTGTTTTCTTGTAGAAATGAGATAACATCTCTAGTGCTAAAAGGGAGTGGGGTTTACTCTCTGTTTATATAGAGAGGCTTGCCTTTTAGGTGTTGGTGCAGGGATGGGGCTGGGCAGTGGTGGGTTCCTCCCGGTTCGGTCTGGTTTGGCCAAGCTGGTAGCGGTGACGATAGGACGTCACCGAATTGGTTCTCCCCCCTTGCCCTCCCACCCCCCACTCACCCAGGTTATTCTTACCTTTTATTTGGCCCCACCCACAATCTATTGCTGCCTCCTGAGTCCCAGCTGATGACTAGAGGGAAAAAACTGTTTAAACTCTTGCCGCCGGGCTTCAAAGGGCTTCAGTTAAAAGCAAACAAATGAGTTGGGTCGTAAGTGCGAGGACTGGTCGTAAGTACGAGGACCTTCCAGAAATGACTCTGACCAGCTAGCCACACCCACCTGGTAAATATGACCTCCAAGCCACACCCACAAAATAAGCCACGCCCACAGAACCGGTAGTAAAAAAAATTAGAACCCACCCTGCTGCTGGGGTTCGTAGGGGTTCGGGAGAACCTCTAGCTAAGATTCTATGCAGTTTGGGGAACCCCCAAATCCCATTCCTGGCTGGCCCTGCAACTGCAAAAATG